CTATAGAGATTGTTCTACCACTGCATACCTATGCATTTGCCCATCAGCTTGGGGTTATCGCTTTGTGGCAGCCGGCTTTAGTATCGAGGAGATGTTTTTGTTTTCCTTGTCTTTCACATGTTGTCTTTGTATTGCTTTTAATACTTATCTGGTGGTACTACCACTCGATTCATTTGCATTGAACCGTTCCCATCCTGCACTGTTCCTCCGTATTTTCTTTTAGCTGTTGAGCTATTTTGATTTATTCTCCTGGGGTGGAGCATTATGAGAAAGCGAATGATATACTGGATGTTTACCAAGAAAAATCGAAGGTCTGGTTACACAGCAAGACGCCAAAGTGCCGTTTTCTGAAATAGAGCATTTAGATGAGAATGTTGAGATCATAACCATCAATAAAACAAACCAATGCAGCCGTCTATCTCTCTAACATACCATCCGTCTACAACTCCAACCCTAGAAATACAGTGTTGTCCAGCGGGGTTTCATAGTATTTATCAATGTCCTTGAATCCCATACTCCTATACAGCTCAATGGGAGCACGCATATGACGAAGAGTATCAAGTCTCATCTCGTCATATCCTCTGTCTCGCGCAACTTGCAGAAGAGCCAACACTAGCGCCTTGCCGACCCCTCTGCCTCTGGTAGATGGAAGAACATACAACCGTTTCATTTCGCAATAACGTTTCCCGTTGTTAGCTGAATTGTTCGCTGAAACGGACGTGACTGTTTTGTCGGACGAGAAGTCTTTGGGTACCAATGGTCTCAAACAGATGCAGCCCAATACTTCTCCAGAGGCATCATCAACTGCAAGCAGTATCTCTCCATCAGGAGGAGAATACTTCCCCGGGAACGAAGCCATTTCATCCTGAAAGCCTTGGAATGCCAAGTCAACTCCAAGGGATGCAGTATATGCCTTGATCAAGGTGGTTGTGACTTGGATATCTCGTTCTGACCGCGCTGGTTGTATGGTGAAGGCGCCATTCTTAGATATGGTATTTGCCCTTTGCAGGTAATCATCCGGAGATCCGTCGACCTTGTGCATAGCTGCTGCTCCATATAACGAAAATAATATTGCTGCACTCGAACCCTGCGGCCCTACTGTTCGTTGGTGGCGGTTGTACGGAGTTCTTCGTTGTTCGTCTCGTCTCCATCGACTTCTTCAAACCCCAAAAACTTCCCTCGATGAGAATGCCAAGAAGCCCCACGTGGAAACCTTATTTTCTCCCTTATTTTGACTTTACTTTTTTTTTTCTGCTGCTGATAAGATCTTGGATCAACCAACCGAGTTCCAACAATATAATATGAATACGACAGGCCGGCGGCAAAAACTCCGTGTGTCCAGAAGGCGCCGAGAGGTTCGAGTGGCAGAGGAGTCATTGGCATATAAAAGCTGCCGATAGGGTCATAGGAGATGTTTACTAACTATTCCCCTTGCCCGGCCCTGCAGGTGTAATTAACTAGTTAGCTATCTTGGCCAGAACGACCTCTCCAGCCAACTTGATATCAAACACTGACATCAGATGAATACGGCTTTTCGACCGTGGCTTTTCTCTTCTTCCCGGCGGCCTTCACCCGATTGGGCCACGGCTATCAGTTTGCATTTCGCCTCCTCTATTCTCGTCCCTTTAGTCATCTCGGCATTAACGATCATCTCTCCCCTTTCTTGCTGCTTACCCGTGCCGTTCGACCCGAAACTTGTCGGTGCTCGAAGGGCGTGCATCTCCTCCTCGTGACGAGGATGAAACGAAAAGGACGATGGTTAGCCAGAGACTGCGATTTTATAGGAACGGGCCAGCCCCGTTCACGGGCCGGTTTGTACTGCTTACATATCTCCCACCTTGACCCTGGCGAGTCTAACTGTGGGTCGGTTAGAGAGGGTCGGACCCATGGTTGGGGATAAAAATGCACACGCTGGGCTGGGTCATTGACATTGATTCCTGGATGAGTCGAAAATTGCTAACAGTTTCAATTAACAGTTAGCTAACATCCAACTTGCTTTGCATGAAGTTGCAGTAACTATCAAGTCAAAAATACCTCATCAACCAACATTTAATCTCCGCATCTACAGAAGGGATAAAAACAAGTTGAGGTTGCAAGATTTCATTCGGCTCCTGCGTTCGTAATCAGAGTCTGATTCGGTCTGATAAATATTTCCATCGGTACTTAACCTGGTCAATCCATATATGTCATAGAAGTAGTGATCATTGCTAACTATCTGCTTAGACAAGCAAGTCTTTCACTGTCATCAAGTTAGCCATACAATCTCATCTTTGCATAGTCATTATCAAACTTGATATACCACCAGGTTCCAAAAAAGGACATCAGGGGGATGGGACTCAGTGCAGAGTCGTCTGCGCAGCAAATTGAAGCGCAGGATGTCGAGAAGGCAGTTGAGGCCATTCCTATCTCCTCCTTCGCCGAAATACCTTCTGAAAAAGGTGGTTCTCAGACACAATCTGGGTCATCTTCGGATCATGACAATGATGTCAACCAAATATCTAAAGTACCCACTAAGACGGTAGAACGGCCAGGTGTATTAGAAAAGACTCTCTCCCTTGTTCGAACAAGAGAGTCCAACCGGGATCCTGGTCCACCTCCAGATGGTGGCTATCATGCCTGGCTACAAGTGGCTCTTACCCATATGGTTATCTTCAATACATGGGGATTCGTCAACGGATTTGGTGTATTTCAGTCATACTACACTGAAGCCCTGAAACGGTCACCTTCCGACATACCATGGATTGGTGGAACTCAGATCTTCCTTCTTTTCTTTATTGGGACATTTTCGGGTCGGGCAACAGATGCAGGATACTTCAAGGCTGTTTGGTCTGCAGGCGCAGTGATAATTATCTTTTCACTCTTCATGACCTCGCTGTGCAAGACATACTGGCAAACCTTTCTTTCCCAGGGCGTCTGCATGGGAATAGGAAGTGGTCTCATATTCTGTCCCAGTGTGGCTCTTCTAACATCCTATTTTGCACGTCGGCGGTCCCTCGCAATCGCCATCACTGCATCTGGCAGTGCAACTGGAGGCATCGTCTACCCAGTACTCGTGCAACAACTGCTCCCCATAATTGGTTTTGGATGGACCATGCGAGTCATTGGCCTAATAACCGCCGTTACGCTTACCCCTGGCTTCTTTTTCCTTCGTCAACGCATACCTCCCCGTCGAACGGGTCCGTTCTTTGAACTCCAGGCTTTCCGCGAACCTGCCTACTCTTTATATGCAGTGGCCATGTTCCTTAATTTTTGGGCCTTGTACATAGCCTTCTTCTATGTTGGCAGTTTTGGCCGTAATGTAATCGGCTTGTCCCAAAAAGATTCCATAAACCTGATTCTTATAATAAACTGCGTGGGCATCTTTGGTCGCCTAATACCCTGCTATATTTCGGATTGGAAATCGGGTCCTATAAATGCCCTCATACCATGCACTGTTGTGGCAGGAGCAACGTTATTCGGGTGGATCGGCGTGAAAAGGGAGCCCAACTTATACGCATTTTCCATTGTTTATGGGTTCTTCGCCGCTGGGATACAGGCGTTGTTCCCGTCTGCCCTGACAAGTCTCACAACAGATCTGAAGAAGAGCGGCATCCGATTTGGGATGACACTGAGCATTGTAAGCTTTTCTTCCCTGACAGGTTCACCCATCGCTGGTGCGTTGATTGCATTGAGGGACGGTGACTTTCTATACGCCCAGATCTTTGCTGGTTTGTCGATGTTTCTCAGCCTTGCCGTCTTGCTATTATCCCGGTCAAAAGTAGTCGGATGGAAGCTCAAAGCGAGAGTTTGATTGTTAATCTCTGCATCCTTTTATGTGTTCGAAAATATCATCCGGAGTACAAGGTATGTGGAGGCTTTTCTATGCTGACTTTGCAATGTTAGAGTAACTAACAAGCTTTTCTAGTTTCGATTTCTGCATATAAACGTATATAAAAGAGTGTAACGAAGGTAATGTCTAGTTATATATCAAATATTTAGAAATTTAAATCGCCTAGTGTCATTCCCCAGCTGTGCCAATATGTACCAGGAGCCTTGACATAAATTTGAGAAACCAAAAGATGATAATTAGCCAATTCCAAGTCGTCACCTTTGTTCATGAGTTCTCAAAATAATGAAGGTTGTATGGTTCGGTGTCCCGTACAACGAATCCCTGCGGTGTCGCCACCGAGGATGTCTCCCTCTGATTAATGTCCTGAACACCATTGCTAGGTGGGAATTTGCTCATCTGACGATTGACTTTGGGCGAAGTTTCTCCGAGTAAGGTATCGTGGCTTCTAATAACTAGCGCTGTCAATCAGTTGCAGGGGCTCGTCCTTAGTAGAAGGCTCGACGTCACTGTATAGTAGCTCTTAATTTTCCGTTATTTTCTTCTATAAAGATAGTTTTTCACTATCGCTGTTGTCTGGATGTGCATGTGAGGTGAGCCTTGAGCAAAAGCTTTCTGTTTTATAATTGATTAGAAAGAGTTAAGGGGCCCAGATTTGCACGGATGCAGACTAGAAGTAGGCGGGCCAAAAGGGCGTTGGCTAGGTAGGGATTTGCAGTGTTGCTGACATCCACACCGCCTCAGGTAGATGCCAATCTGGTGTACATAAGATAAATACCCGATGAATGAGGCGGAAGAGATATTTGGTTGTAGCTTGAGTCTGTGAGGTCAACGTGAGGACGGGGTCTTCGATGGTACTAGCTGGAATCTGCGGGATAAACGCTCTCCTGGCGATTTGGATGATGTCTGGAAGAAGAATTCGCATCGTGCAGAAAACCGTATACAGCTAGTTAAAGCTAACAGGCTGGATCGCGCGAGAGACCGAAAATAGCCACAGCTGGTCTTGTATTAGTTAACTAGCCACGGCAATACGTTTGGCAAGCAAATTCGAATTGAGGACATGAGCGGGAATCTAGGGTCAGGACAAACGTTCTAATGAAGTGTTTGCCTTCGCTCAAGTTGACTGTGCTATGAGCACTGACGGCGGCGGTGACAACGTCGTTTTTGGGCACGTTCAGAGAGCTTCTGAAATGCGGCAATTTAACAGTAAGGAAAAGAAGAAAAGAGAAGAAATTCCAATCGAAGAATATCCAAGAGGCTCTCTCGATTCCATCGGGTCTTCAGACCGGTCCTCTTCGTTGGGGGTATTTGCTTCTTGAAATTCGAGCTCTCCTTGATCAAAGGTGAAAGTGGCTTTCTCAGCTGTGGCATATCTCTCATCAGCAGATGTACAATCCCACAGAGAATGTTCTTCGTCTGGACAGAAATGGCAGGATTCAGGTGAATCTTGTACTTTCCTCAAAACTCCTGTCTTCATCAATGCTGTCAGGAGAAAATGGAACAATACGTGCGACCTCTGTTGCTACTAGAGTGCGTTCGCCCCCAGTGACGACTCTCATTAGGCGTGTAGACTGTCCAATTTCTACCTACTTTCTGAGCCACGAGATCTTTACCGGGATGCGTACCACCACTTTGCACAACGAAACACCTTTAGCAACTTAAATCTAAGTCCAACATTTTCTGTAGCAGAGGCTTTTAGCCTTGCAGTTTGGGCAGGCAGATTCGACTGAGTTATTTGGCCAGGGAAAGGGGACACCAGACGGGACCTCTGGCAGATTGGCGCAAGTATCGAAAAAAGTAGGACCGGATTGGCATGCAGTACATTTGGCAGATATCCATGCTGCTTCCTTGGACTCTATTCGGAGTACTTAGAGCATTTGTTTGCTTTTGTAGCAGGAAGGAGGTAGCGATGGTTCCATTGTGTTAAATCAACCATTGCAGCTTCTCTATCATATTATCCATGCATGAGAACCATGACTGCCACAGTAACTCATTCATACCGCAGTTAACATCAGAGAAGCCTGCCACCCTTAGCAACTGGCTGTTGAAAGAATCCCTTGGTAATGTCCATGGATGAGAAGATGACGGAACCCCCAAGGGCATCCAGAATATCATCTTGTCGTGGCAGGGGATAAGCATTAGGCATAAGTGCATGAGAACCAGATACGTTTATATCTCTTAGGACCTTTAGTGGATATGGTAGGGTTGTTGGTCCATTTTAATATATATAACTGCCGCTGTATGCTGCCCAGAATAAGTTTAAGCTTGGGTGCTTCGTTCTCGGATGTCGGAATAGTAGACGCAGTTGCATCTGAGCGACTCAAAAACGATGCTATAATCGGCCACACGGGTACTGTGATGGCATCCCGTTGTAAATAGCAGAGTGCCTACTTATTGTGTATATAGGGTACCACAAGTAGTGGGATATGAAGCAGTGGGCATTCCAACTTGACCCCCCGGGCTAGACCCGCTATAGATAAAAATTTGTTTTGAACACACAGTGCAGCCCTAATGCCACTTGCTCATCTGAGAAAACCGAGATATTCCTGACCACATAGTGCTTCTGGAACTTGGTGTGGTATTCCGACAGGCACGCCTCTAGTTCTTCTTTACCGATCTTAAGTATTTTGCCATCGTGCTTAGAGACATCTTCTGCTGTTTCAAAACGGACCAGGAAGGGAGACGGCCGGGATCTAGGCGGCCTCAAGGGCTGCGGCAATCGTCTGCTGTAATGGCTTTGTGTCTCGCAGGCGTGGTGTAAGGAGGAGAAACATAGATTATAACAGGAATCAAAAGGGGAAGAAGAAGCAGGGGGAATTATGGCCCCTTTTATGTGTCTCCATCCGAGCAGTGACTGTGCCTTGGTATAACTATTGAATGGGCCACTGCAGGTTGATTCTCCGAGGAGTGAATGTCTCACAGTGACTCTCTTTATTCCTGGATGCTGATGTCTTTGGATATCTTTGATACTTTGATGTCTTTGATGTCTTTGATGTCTCTCTAACTTACGGAATTTGGGGTTGAAGTTGGAAGAAAGAAAACTGACGAATCAGAATGCGTAGAAATAAGAGCAACTGAGTAGCCAATCAGAAATGTTGAATTAACAGCAAGAGCAAACAGTGCAAACAAGCGGGTACCTCACGTGATGCCCCCTCCAAAAAAACATCAAAAAGAAAAAAAAAGAAAAAGAAAAAACGTGACTCGATTTATATTTTCAATTTCAATTTCGATATCTCGTGGTTTTTTGGTTGAAGTTTTGCTGCTTCGTGGTCTTCTTTTTCCTTCGTCTTGCTCGTTCTCTCCTTTCTGTCGAGCCTGTTCTGTTGCTGACAGCGTCGGTGGTGGTTGTTTTTCTCTGCGTTCGGCCCTATATCGTAAACTGCCTAACTAAACAACTAACTTATCGAACTACCTACCCCCGCCTATCTTACACATACAGCCCACGCGTAATCATGGCGCCTCGCGGACGTGGAGGGAAGTTTAGCAAGCCGACGAGAGGAGGTAGGCCTGTCTGTCCTTGTTATCGCATACATGTATAAGATACGGATGCTAATACTCTAGTTGTGGACGCATAGGGGGCAAGCATTTCAGTCGAGACCTGCAGCCACTGGATAAGAATGGAGACCCGATAGGCATGTGGAGGGTTAGTGATATCTACTACACGCAAGATTCCAGATGCAAGACCGGTGTGCTGACGTATACTAGGAGGAAAAGGAGGTAGAGTCTTCGGAAGAGGAAGAGGAAGAAGAGGAGGAGTCAGAGGAGGAGTCCGAGGAGGACGAAGATGAGGGCCCTGTTAAGGAAGAAATGACCCGTGAGCAGCGTAAAGCCGCCGCCAAAGCCAGAAAAGAGGCTGCCATTCGTAAGAAGCGACAAGTGGCAGCCGAGCCAGGAGACCTGCCTCCGAGTGACAGTGAAGAAGATGAGGATGACGATGACATGCCAGCCAACCCAAATCACACTGCCAAAGCCCGTAGCCAGGCGGCCAAAGCAGCAACCGCCCCAGCCGACGGGGCCGCCTCGGCCGCAAAGAAAACAGATGTCTCACAGCTTTCTCGCCGTGAACGAGAGGCTCTGCAGGCCCAGCAGGCTCGCGAGAGGTACCTGAAGCTACACTCCGAGGGCAAGACAGACGAGGCTCGTGCCGACCTGGCTCGTCTGGCCATCGTTCGCGAGCGTCGTGAAGCCGAGAGGGCCCGTAAAGAGGCCGAGACAGAAGAGCGTGAAGAACGAGAGCGCGAGAAGGCTAAGGAACGAGAAGCCAGAGAGGCCAAGCTGAGAGCTGCTGCTTTGGGACCAGCAGCTAACAAGAAGAAGGGGAAAAGCAAATAAACCACTCTTGATTTCTTCAGCATAGCCATCCATTTTCCCATTTTGGTGACAGGACGGCATGTTGTGCTTTTTTCCCCTTCCCCTTTTCTTCTAGTGGTTCATAACCGGACTGGTATCATGATGGACTCGCATCGTGGTTTGAATCTGGTCTCTCTCTCTCTCTCCTTTTCACTTTTCTCCTTCATATAACAGACTGCTTGGGACATGGTATCTTTTTGCAAGCCACAAATATATGCACACCATAGGCTATATCAATTCCACATCAATGATTGTATGCATGTTCCAAGGCCTCGAGTTTCCCCCCCTGGCCTGAGGCTCCAGGGATGATCCAGGTACGGCCGCATCGAGCCTTCGTATAAACCCATAACCTCCCTTCCCGTCCGTTTCCTGATGCACACACCTTGAATTCTTCAAACAAACGGCAAAATATCTCTGCTCGCCGTTTGCTCGTCATTTACGTAACAGCCTGCGGTAGATGTGTAATTGCATCCGACTTGGCGACTTCAAGGTCGAAATATCCGCAACACGAGCGCCCGCCTCGTACGGATCGGATGATACTCTACGACGTCGTATATTATTATAAGTAATAAGAATAACAACGTTTGCATGGAGACTTTCGATGCACATAATTAACGCTATTAATTAGTCTTAATTGCGTGTTGTTGGGTCTTCGTGTTGGTGCTCGTATTTTCTCAGGGGGTCACAGCAAGCAAACATAGGTTATATCTCTATTTTTACAGTCAAGACTATGTACTTTTTTTTCTTCTCTTCGTCGGTCGATTCTGACAGTCTGGGAGTCAATCAAGCGAGAAAAGAAAGGAATTAAGCCGGAGTAAGTCTCCAGGGAATAAATATATACAATAAATGGTTCTTTTGGCGCATTGAAAGACAGCTGATACAAAGGACGAAATAAAGCAGCCAAAAAAGAGATAGATACCTGTAATTAAGTGGATGTATAGAATTCCCCTCCTAGTAGACGTATCTGAAAGTCAAGTTCTCCTTGTCAGTCAGGTTGTCCCATTTCTTCTGCTCGGCGGACGTGGTCTGGGACAGAGTGGTATCCTCCGAGACGGGCAGGGCCTGGGAGTTCTGCGCCGCAACCCGGTCCCTCCGCTTGTTCTCCCAGATGTAGTAGCCCAGCAGGCAGATTGCGAGCACAGCTCCACAGGCCTGAGTAGCCAGGACGGCGATCTTGGCTGGGATGTAGCGGGGGGCATCCTTTGCCTGGAAGGTCTGGGGCCCGATGATATTCCCGATGCTGAAACTCGCGGTGACCAGGGCAGCGCTGACAGAACGCTTGGTGCTGCCAGCAACATTGGAGGCCAGCCACTGGTAGATGACAATGAGGGTTGGAACAATGGAGTTGACGAGGTAGATGCCAGCCAAGAGAGCTCCTTGGTTGTGCTCTGGCGCAAAGGAAAGCAAAGCACCACCAATAATTCCAGGGATGCAGCATGCTACAATGCCAACGGAGCGGTACATCTTGTAGCGGATTGCGAAGCCAATGACGACAGTGCTGATGATGGATACGGCACCGCTGGGCATGTTGAGCAGGGCAGATCTAGGAGCAGAGTAGCCGAAGCTCTTGATCAGGGTGGCAGAGTAGGTCGTCACCACTCCGCTCGATACGGAGATCTACAATAATATTTTAATTAGCACACGACATATGCATGCATGAACGATGGAGTATGCCAACCTACCAAGGTAGTGATGATGGTCATGAACCAAATCTGGATGTCGAGAAGCGTCTCAATGATATGGGCCATCTTGAAGCTGGTGTTGATGACTCCGGTCTGGTTACAGGAGACATGCTTGAGCAGCGCGGCCTTTTCCTTCTCAGTCAAAAAGCGCGCCTTCATGGGGCTGTCTGGAATGATAAGATAGGTCGCGATGCCGGCCACGCAAGTGACAGCGCCCAGGAGGACAAACATGGCCTTCCAGCCGGTGAAATCGGGGTTCTTGACATGCTGGAAACCGAACGAGACGAGGCCGCCAATGATCTGTCCCAGGCCCAGGCCCGAGTACCAGATGCAGAATCGCGGCGCCTGCTCGGACTTGGTGTACCACTGGCTGCTGATGAGCACCAGACAGGGCGCAATGGCAGCCTCAAAGATGCCCAAGAAGATGCGAGCCGCGAGCAGAGTC